GCCCCCCTTTTTTTTTTTTTTTTTTTTTTTTTTTTTTTTTCCCTCCCCCTTTCCGGGTGCTACAATATATGTATATGTAAATATTTGAAACATCTTTCTTTTTTTAAAAAAAAAAATATTGAATTATTTGTATAAATGTGGGGTAAGTAAATAAAAGGAAAAAATTTTATATTATCAAAAAAATTAAAATTAAGTAAGTGAATTAAAAAATTAAGTAGTTCACTTTTTAATTTGTTTTATATATATATGTATTATATTCACTTGTAATATTAAGTTTAATTTGTATTTCAATCGAGTTATATTAAAAAATAAAATAAAATAAGGTTTCAAATTTAAGTTAAATTCAAAATAAAATATTTATTTTATATGTTTTTAAAATAATAAATTTTTAACTTTATTTTTAATGTACTTTAATTCTCTAATTATTTTCTAAATGTAAAGATAATTAAAACTATTAACCTATACTTTTCATAAGCATAAAATAATACTCGAAAAAAGTGACATGAATAATTTTTTTTATTGTAGTTCTCGTACTTAAAATTATTAAAAACTAAAAATAAATTATGATAATCATAAATATGATATAAATTATTGTATATAAATAAATAAAAATGTTACTGAAATTATAGCTTGGTAATATAAAGTACAAATTTATACATATACCTGCATATATATATATATAATTATATAGTAAAAAAATTCAATCATATATTGAAAAAACAGTAAAATTCATGAAATCTTTATCCTATATAGATCAAATATTTGAATTTATTAATTGCATTATTTTCTTTATATATAAAAAAAGGTTTCGTGTAATTTTTGAATTTCTTTTTTGAATTGATTACATGTTCTTTTTTAATTTCATGATTTGCATGTAATATATCTAATGATGATATACATTGGCATGCATGCAAATATAATGTATTAATTTTTATATAAAAAAAAGCTATTTAAGTTTAAAATATATATTTTTTCCTAATTGATTTAAAATATAATTAAATTAAATGAATACTAAATTACATAAATTTTTTTTCCCATTTTAATCATTATATTTGTAAAGTATATATATCTTTATGCAATTATAAATAAATATATCAATTTTAAAGAGTAATTTAATAGTAATTTCATGTGACTTTAATACATGCATCGAATTTTACCAATAAATATTTTATAATATAACTTTTTATATGAACTAATAAATAATTTTTTTTTTCAAGTTCATTACTATAACTAGTAATTATTATTGTATTAAACTTAAAATGAATGATAAACTAAATAAAAGTTTAGTAATTTTACAAAATTTAATTATACATTAATTAAAACTACCATTATATATATTGAACATATGTTTCTATACATATAGATACATATATATATATATGGGTCAAATGTATGAATTAGCACCAAGGACAAGTTTTGCAAATTGGATAAATGATTAATAATATATGATAATGATGAAACACGTTGCCATCTAATTTTTTTTTTTCCTTAGTGAAGTAAATTTAGCTTCAAAAAATAAATTAATGGTTTTGCAATTTTACACTCATAATACATGCATATATGTACATACATATACATATATATATATATGTGTGTGTATTAATGTGATAAATTTGGAATTTTTATAATTTTTTATTTTCTAAATAAAATAGAGAAACACAACCCAAAAGTTGAATTTACACATAAAATTTTCAGATTTTTTTTTTAAATTTTTTGAGATTAATTCATGTAAGCAAATTTGTCAACCTCAAAATTCGATTATGTCAATCTTATCTTTCTTTTTTTGTGAAAATAATAATTTTCTTTTTTGGATAATTTCTGATATTTACAATCCACAAAATCCCACAAAAAAAAAATCAATATAGTAAATAATAATATAAAAAAATATGAATTAGGAAATATATCTACAAAATATATAATTTTTATACGAATAAGATTTAAATTTTATTGTAATTTTCATTAATCTACTCATTATCCCCTTAACCCAAATTAAAAAATTACCTTTTTTGAAAAATAATATTTTCAGACACCTCATAATTACTGTTATCCAAAACTGTACCGTTTTAATAGGAATGTCAAATGACATTTTTACCCGCGAATCAAGCGCCCACGTTTTCTTTTAAATTTTAATTTAAGCTCGTTGGTCAAAGAGTCAAAATACTCTCAGGTGGGTCCCACGGTGATGTTAATCCGGATTATTGAAAACTTAAATGACAGCGGAATCCTATTCCGTTCCGTTTTATCGACAATACTACCTCGGAGTTGCACTGTCAACCAACTGCTTATAAAATTCGAGCCGGATTCGTAGGTGCGCTTCTATATATACTCACGTAACTCACGCATATATCCCGCATGAGCAGTCAATCCTGAGTTGCAGAGAGATTGAGAAGGCCCTAGAAGGAGTTTACTTGACGTAAAAGGTCTGATACAGTTAAGGTAAATATACTCATCTTCTTTCTCTGTTTCTTTTTCTCTCAAAGATTGTTTCATTCATTGGTTTTTTTTTTTTTTTTTTTTCTCTTCTCCGCTTAAAGTTGTTTTTATCGGTTTCTGTCTTTATGTTGTCTGAGGGTGTTTTCCGTTGACATGAAAAATAAAAAAACAGAGACAACCATTGATGGGTTTGATAGATACTTTTCGAGAGATCTTGTAAGATAAACATTATTTCTGCGCGCTGGTTGCTTGTTTCTTTAATTTGTTTTAATGGGGGAGGGGTGTTTATCCGAGAAGGTTTCCGTGTTTATCTTGTTTTTCCAGAAGAAGATGAGAGTTCTTTGGAGATTTTTCGGTACATTTTATGTTATGTGGAAGTATCTTCCATGGCTCTTCGGTGTATATATAATATAATATGATATAATAAGACTATAATATATTTCTTTTGCAACAAGATTGAATAAAAAGAGTTCAGTATTTATCTTGTTTTCTTGAAGAAGAATGAGATTACAGAGAATTGTTTAGAGATGAAAGTTCTGACTCTGTTTAGTAATTTCTTCTTTTTCAGTTTTTTAAATTCTTAAAAAAGAGGACTTCGAATCACAATAAAATCAGTAAAGCTTATCTACGATACCCTTGTTCACAGATTTGGCAACAGTTAGAAAAATCATTCAAGTTTTTCTTTTTATTTTTTTCCCCAAAATAGAATGTAGAGAAATTCATCTGTATTCTATGTATATACTTGGCTGTAGCTCTCTTCAATGATCTTATCCGTACTCTTCTTATTTTCTTTAGTTTTTCTCTGTAATAGATCTCATTTTGATACTTTGATTAATATGTAACTGTCATTGATTTTTTGCTTGAATTAAGAACGTCGTATTACAGACTAAATAGGATCATCCATGTTAAGATACCGACAGATTGTCTCTTATGTTCGATGGAAATTGTTACAAGCTTAATTTTGCAGGTTGTTTAGGGAATTTGAGATCGACTTAAGTGTTTTGACAAGGTGAAATCGAGATGGTTGAAGGGGGAGTCACGAAAGCTGATAAGACAGAATTCACAGAATGTTGGAGGGTAGCATGGAAGACACCTTATATTTTAAGGCTAGCACTCTCAGCTGGTATTGGAGGTCTCCTCTTTGGTTATGATACTGGTAATTCTCTACTTTTTCTTTTTGTCTAACATAATTTAAGAGGCTGAATTCGATTATGTAACTCTATGTTGCACTTTATATATATATATTTATACATACTTATTATTCTTGTTATGGTTTAGGTGTGATATCTGGTGCGTTACTTTACATCAAAGATGACTTTGATCAGGTTGATAGGAAAACGTGGCTACAGGTAAATAATCGCTATTTATTTGTAGCAAAATAATCTCTATTTCTTTTTAATGATCTTAATTGTATATTATCACGAATCAAATGTCTCGATATGTTCATTGATGAATCTGGCAGGAATTGATCGTTAGCATGGCTGTTGCCGGAGCTATATTTGGTGCTGCAATTGGAGGATGGCTAAACGATAGACTTGGGAGAAAAATATCCATTCTAATTGCAGATGTTCTCTTCTTCATTGGTGCAATCCTTATGGCCATTGCTCCAGCTCCTTGGCTGATAATCATTGGAAGAATCTTTGTAGGTTTAGGAGTTGGGATGGCTTCTATGACATCCCCTCTTTACATCTCAGAAGCTTCTCCAGCAAGAATCCGAGGTGCACTTGTAAGCACAAATGGTTTTTTAATCACTGGTGGACAATTCTTGGCTTACCTTATCAATCTAGCCTTCACTCGGGTAAGTAGTACTTATACAATAATAATTAATCAGTTCGACAAATAAGCCATCGAGTTCGTGATTTTAATTTTAACACGAGCTATTAAACCATATGTTAGGCGCCTGGAACTTGGCGATGGATGCTTGGCGTTGCTGGAGTCCCAGCACTGGTTCAATTTCTTCTAATGTTGTTCCTTCCAGAGTCTCCCAGATGGCTTTACAGAAATGTATAAGCTTTGATTGATATCAAAGTTAAAGTCTGTCTTTTTCATGATAATTTTAAACCTTGTGGCAACTGTTACTGATTCCCGATCTTTCTGTTTCTGATTCCTAATCTTTTTCTTTGTTTGATCAGAACAAAGTTGATGAAGCCAGAGCAATTCTAGAGAAGATTTACCCTGCAAATGAAGTCGAGATTGAACTAAATGCCCTTAAGTTATCTGTCGAGCAGGAGAAGGCTGAGGAGGCTTCAATCGGAGAGAGTCTTCCAGCAAAACTAAAGGGTGCTTTTAGTAACAAAGTTGTTCGGAGAGGATTATATGCAGGAGTCACATGTCAAGTGGCTCAGCAATTTGTGGGTATAAATACAGTCATGTATTACAGTCCTTCAATTGTTCAGTTTGCTGGATATGCTTCAAACCAGACAGCACTGGCATTATCTCTTGTTACTTCTGGTTTGAACTGGCTATGCACGCTTATAAGCATGGCTTTCGTAGATAGATATGGAAGGAGAAGGATGATGATTGTATCTATGTTTGGTATCATATTTTGCCTTGTTGTGTTGGGAGTAGTATTCCATGAAGCATCGATTCATTCACCTAAGGTCGATCAAGTTCAATCCACCCAATTTGCCAACTCCACTTGCAGCTCTTTTGTTCAAGCCACCAATCCATCTCGGTGGAATTGCATGAAATGCTTGAAAGTCGAGTGTGGTTTTTGTGCCAACAAAAACCAAGTAAGTAGACTTATCTCTTTTAAAAATTCGTATATTTTAATAATTAAATAACATTTACGAACTGATAACAATACAATCAAATAAGAACACATATAAGAAGATAATCTGACTCGAATTCATAATATCATGAAAAGAAGTAAAATTATAAAGCATTCGATTAAAAGATGGTCGATACCTAATCCGCTCATTTTTTGATTGCTTGAGAATTGACATTGTTTATATCCATGTGATTATCTCAGTATGCTCCTGGAACCTGCTTGGCAAGGACAGATTTACTGGAAGATTCATGTCATGCTCAAGGAAGGACATGGTACAAGGATGGTTGTCCGAGCAAATTCGGTTTCCTAGCTGTTGTGTTCTTGGCTTTATACATCTTTGTATACGCGCCCGGAATGGGAACTGTTCCATGGATAGTGAATTCGGAGATATATCCGCTGAGGTACAGAGGTGTTGGTGGAGGAATTGCAGCAGTATCTAACTGGTCATCCAACTTGGTAGTGAGCTTGACATTTTTAACTCTCACTAAAGCCATTGGTTCTTCTGGGACTTTCTTGCTCTTTGCTGGGTTCTCCTGTGTCGGGTTAATTGCCATATTTTTCTTGGTGCCTGAAACCAAAGGACTGCAATTTGAGGAGGTTGAGAAGATGCTGGAAATTGGGTATAAACCAAGTTTATGTGGTGGGAAGAAGAGTAAAGATCGGGGTGCTGTTAATAATGCTTAAAAGAGCAGGGAAGGAAAACAAATACTCTTCTTTTATGCAGTCACTCGATTTGATTATTGTTCCTTTTTTTTTTTTTTTTTTTTTCAAATCCATCAGTTTTTTAGTAACATGTTTATATATTTGATTTTAATTGCTGCCTTCTTTGATTATATGCTGTGGCTTTATATATATATACATATATATATATATACATTATGAGCTTAACAGCCTTCCTCCGCGGCGTGCGGTGATCGACGGGGATGATCGGAGAAGACAGACGGAAGACAGTGGGTTCAAGGAAGGCAGGAGGAAGGCGCTGTTTGGCAGTCCTGGATTAGAATGAACCCTTCAGGCCTACTGGGACTGTTTGAATTTTTTAATTATTATTTTATTCATTTATGCATAATAACTCATAATTAAATTACAAGAAAAATAATTAAAATACAAATAAAATATAAGTGGGTCAAAATTGAAATTTAAAGCTAAAGTGTATAATAAATTTATAAAGTCTTCGATATTACTAAACCAAGTATTATAAGTCACGAAAATAGTACATATAAATTACGGAAAAATTTTGAAAAAGAAAATCTTTCTAAACACAAAATTGCATAAACATTAAAGAGGGTATGTTTAATTATTTTTAATCGTTAATAATTATATTTTAATCATCGTTAATATCCATACTGTGCTGTTTTAATAAAAAGAGAAAAAAAATGCACGAAATAACATATTTATCTATTCACAATCTCTTAATACCGCAAATGAACAATATGATTTCTTTAAAATTTTAATTTAAGTCGTTGATCAAAAAGTTAAATATTGTAATTTTATCGAATCAAAATAAAATAATTAATTAAATATATATATATATATATAACAACAAAAATGATGCCTCTTTAATAAGGAATTTACCATTAAATTTAAAACCCTAAAATAATGTTAATTACTATAACTTCATATCTCAAAATACTGGTTTTGAGAACTTTTTTCTGTTTTGAATTAATGCTTATAATATTTTCAGAGTGTTTTTTTTAAAAAAAATTTATGGGAATCAATTATATACTATCTATATAGAAAATATATATAGTATATAATTTTTTATAGGTATAATATTTCGTGTATAATTTTATTCTAAATTCACTAATTTCTTATTATTCTCTTAATCCGAAGTAAAAAATTACGAAAATAATACATGTAAATTACGGAAAGAGTTTGAAAAAGAAAATCTTTTCAAAAAACGAAATTCCATAAACATTAAAGAAGGTATGTTAATTATTTATAATTATTAATCAAATAACCGGATAACCACCTCAGTAAATATTAAACTTAACTGGGAACGATCCTTTACAGCATCAATGGTTCATCATATCCGTCTCTATCATTAATCACGCTCTGATTACACAGTCACGATTCATCCACCAGACTTGAGATCTTGTCTCCTTATAACTCAAGAAAATAAAGTTACCAATCTATAGAAGATATCATATTCAAGTAATTAACTATTATTTCTAATATTTAATAATTACACTTCAATCATCATTACTATCCATACTGTGCTATTTTAACAAGAAGAGAAAAAAAAAAAAATGCACGAAATTACATGTTTACCCCTTCACAATATTTCAATAGTGCAAATCAACACCACATTTTCTTTAAAATTTTAATTTAAGTCGTTGGTCAAATAATCAAATGCTTCTGAAGTGGGTCCCAATGTTTTGTTAACCCGAATTTATTATCTTAATCACGACAGAGTCTCATCCCGTTTCCCTAACACTCTCTCATAGTTGCAATGTCAGCCAACTGCTCTCCCACTGCAGAGAGAATGAGAAGGCAAGGGAAGAGTTTACATAGTTAAAAGCTTAATCTTGCTGTTGTGTGATTTTCAGGTTGTTTGGGGAATTAGTGATCAAGTTGTGTTTCAACAAGGTGAAATCGAGATGGCTGAGGGTGGAATCACCTTATATTTCAAGGCTAGCACTCTCTGCTGGTACTGGAGGTCTCCTCTTTGGTTATGATACTGGTAATTTTCTACTAATCATCGTTTTTCTTTTTGTTTAACATAATTTAAGAGGCTGAATTTTATTATATTAACTCTATATTGCATTATATATATATAGATACACACTTATTCTTGTTGTGATTTAGGTGTCATATCTGGTGCGTTACTTTACATCAAAGATGACTTTGATCAGGTTGATAGGAAAATATGGCTACAGGTGAATCTCTATTCCTTTTTAATGCTCGTAATTGTATAAACAACAACAAAATGTTTCAATATATCAATTGATTAATCGGGCAGTAATTGATCGTTAGCATGGCTGTCAGCCAAAGCTATATTTTGTGCTGCAACTGGTGCATGGATAAATGATAGACTAGGAAGAAAGAGATCCATTCTAATCGCAAATGTTCTCTTCTTCATTGGTGAAATCCTTATGGCCATTGTTCCAGCTCCTTGGCAGATAATCTTTGGAAGAATCTTTGTAGGTTTAGGAGTCGCGATGACTTCTATGACATGCCCTCTTTACATTTCAGAAGCTTCTCCACCAAGAATCCGAGGTGTACTAGTAAGCATAAATGGTTTTTTAATCACTAGTGGATAATTCTTGGCTTACCTTATCAATCTTGCGTTCACACATGTAAATATACTTATAAAACAATTAGTGGATAATTCTTGGCTTACCTTATCAATCTTGTGTTCACACATGTAAGTTACTTATAAACTAATAATTAATCAATTCGACAACTAAGACATCTGATTTTAACTTGAGTTATTAAACCCTACGTTAGGTGCCTGGTACTTGGTGTTGGATGCTTGGCGTTGCCGGAGTCCTAGCTCTGATTCAATTTCTATTGATGTTGTTCATTCTAGAGTCTCCTAGATGGCTTTACAGGAAGGTAAGCTTTGATTGATATCAGAGTTAGTCCCTTCAGCTAACTGTTACTGATTTCTGATTTTTTTTTCTTTCTGTGATCATGTTATTAGAGTGAAGTTACAGCAGAAAAACAGAGACAACTTTACGGAGAAATTCAGTTTTCATTGAATTCAAAACATACATTATATAAATCTGAAATTAACTAACCACTAAATTCGTGATCTTAAAAATAGTCCATGATTACATGATAAATTAGAAAATAAAAAACTTTTAAAAGATAAAAAGTACTATTTTAAAATTTTTAAATTTAAACACAAAGAAATTTACTAGTGCAGCAGCCATCCTAAACACCATTTCTAACACTCTTTGTTTAGATGATGCAAACTCCAAGTTTCTTTCTTATTGTTTCGAACTTACTAACTGAAGAGGTTTGGTAAATACATATGTTACTTGATCATCAGTTCTGCAATAAACTAAGGTGACAAAATTTTTTTTTTTTTTTTTTTTGCACTTCCTTCAAGAAAAATAACTTGATGTTGAAATGTTTAGTTTTGCTATGGAAAACCAGATTGTGAGAGATAGTTATTGCAGCTTGATTATCAACCAAATTCATGTTATGCTCAAGGAAGGACATGGTTCAAGGATGGTTGTCCTAATAAATTCGGTTTCCTGGCTGTTGTGTTCTTGGCTTTATACATCTTTGTCTACGCACCCGGAATGGGAACTGTTCGATGGATCGTGAATTCGGAGATATATCCATTGAGATACAGAGGTTTTTGGTGGAGCAATTGCAGCAGTATCTAACTGGTCCTCCAACTTGGTAGTGAGCTTGACATTCTTAATAACTCTCACTAAAGCCATTGGTTCTTCTGAGACTTTCTTGCTCTTTGCTGGGTTCTGCTTTGTTGGATTAATTGCCATATTTTTCTCGGTGCCTGAAACCAAAGGGCTGCAATTTGAGGAGATTGAGAAGATGCTGGAAATTGGGTATAAAACCAAGTTTATGTGGTGGGAAGAAGAGTGAAGATCGGGGTGCTGTTAATAATGCTTAAAAGAGTCGGGAAGGAAAACAAATACTCTTCTTTTATGCAGTCACTGGATTTGATTATTGTTCCTTTTTTTTTTTTTGAAAATACATTAGTTTATTAGTAATATGTTTATATATTTGATTTTAATTGCTGCCTTCCTTTATTATATGCTTTGGCCTTTTTTATTCATATATGCACGTTTATGTATATATCATGAAGTGGGCAACATGTATTGTATGTTTTATGTATGTATGTATGTATGAACATGGGTCTTATATATTGTATAATGAAGTATCGCATGAGTTGATACATAGGAATTCAAATCTACTGAAATCTACTCATGTTATGTTCTTCATGTTAAAGTGGGAGACCCAAGATTTGAAGTTTAAATTCTTTGAATTGGTTTGGAAAACTTACATGATAGTGCTAATTATCATAAATCCCAAGTTCCTCAGAATATGAAATTTGTATAAATATTTTGTAAAGTTAAAACTTTTTAGTTTAAAGTAACGAAAATAAAAATTATTTATTTTCTCAAATATCTTTTTACGGTAAAAGAAGAACGAATTTTCTCAAATATCTTAGTACCTATTGCTAGTCGCAAATACTTAGCCATTGAAATCGCCCATGGCAATCGATAGCTCCTACTCGTAAAATATCATCATGCTTTTTCAAAAACCTCGGCATGACACATTCAAGATCTTAACTATCAAACTCAAAAGAGTTTAGAAGGTAGAAACCTTGCTTATAAGCAAACCTAAGGATTTTCATTCCGTTAGTTTGATAAATTATACTAAAATAAAATATTAACAATATAACATATTATTAAAAAAAAGATTAATTCAATTAAAATATAAGTTAAAGGTGCTTCTTTATAAACAATCTCAAACCCTTGTAAATGACACAAACATATGGGCTTCGACAAAATCTTAAATTTCTATACAAGTTGAAATATATGTTTCAAAATATATAAATATAATCACATGAAATATATATATATGTATATATATATGTCGAAAATTTAAATTGAAGCAAACCCAATACTCAAAGGGTGAAGCCGTAGTTGGTGCATTTTTTTTTTTCTTAACTCCTACGCCTCTCACTGTACATATTTCATCTTGTTAAAATTTTCTCTACCTACACTTTTTTGTCTTATCAAAAAATGCAAACCACCTGAGTGTTTGAACCTTTTGGCCAGGCGTCGACAGATACTTCAAAGACTCCTAAACTATGAGATGCCGACACTTGATCATCCAAAACCTACTTTGAATGCCAAATGTTTTGACCGTGAGCCTTCTACAACCATTCAAGGAGAAGGACAAAAAACACCCCC